CCCGAGCCAAAGCCGGTATCTTTTGCCCTAAAAACATCCTAAATCTTAACACCGTTGCCAGCATTTCTCCTATTCCCCCCACCTACCAGAGCGCACTTAAAGATCCAAATTGCTACAATGCTATGTTAGATGAATATCTAGCGCCGAGGCCGAATACAGAGCCGTAGCAAATGCCGTATCCGAAGTCAGTTGGATCCGGAACCTTCTCCTCGAGCTTCAGCAGCCCCTCACACAATCCACACTCGTCTTCTGTGACAACATCAGCGCGGTCTACCTATCTGCAAATCCTGTCAAGCATCAGCGAACGAAACATATCGAGGTTGACATTCATTTTGTTCGTGACAAGGTAGCTCTTGGACAGGTTCGCGTAATTCATGTCCCTTCGTCACTTCAGTACGCTGACATCTTCACGAAGGGCCTTCCATCCATCATCTTCTCTGAGTTCCGGGATTGCTTAGGCATTCGGCCTTCTCTACCAGCGCCGTCGGGAGCATGTTAAATATATTCCTACTATATTTAATATTGTAATTATTGTAGTTACCTTAAGTGTATAGATTACCATATATGTTTCCTACTCTAACTAGGAAACCCTCTTGTATATATACACATGTAATCTCCCCATTATGATTGTTGGAATTTAACTATTCTTCAGATATGATTATATCTGCACGTGAGGGGACGTGTTAGAATATAAATAACCTATCCTAGTGCAAACCGACTATCAGTATGGGTGGATTCGGATTTTAAAGTTCAATTTTTACCTAAAACCAAAGCCAAAATGGAAGACAATTTGTCTGTTCAATTTCCCAAAAAAAGGAAGTAAACCATTGGTTATTTGTGTCTGTATGTATGTATGTATGTATGTATGTATGTATGTATGTATGTATGTATGTATGTATGTATGTATGTATGTATGTATGTATGTATGTATGTATGTATCTATGCATGTATGTATGTATGTATGGATGCATGCATGCATGCATGCATGTCAAAATTTTGACCAAAAAGTCAACTACATTTATATGGTCCAACTGCGGGGGGGCTAGGCGGTCGTGAGGGGGAGAGATCGGGGTTGGGGGTTTATGAAGAGTATGAACTGTCAATTTTTCGAACGAATTACCTTAGATGTCCCAATTAAAATGGTGCCACGATGTTACACCAGCATAGATGGTGTTACTCTACAATTCTCCATGTATAAAATATTTTAACTTTGTTTTTCAAATCTCTTCAGTGAAATTTGCACTAAATAGGAGTAAAACACAAGTCATTTTCCAATGTAGAACTTAAACTTTTCTATTCTCTAAATATGACTTAATAATGTCTAGTGTGAGGAATAATGTCTAGTAATGATGGATATTTACTTGAATAATGACTAATTGATAATGACCAACGGTCCTACATTAAGAAATAAAAACATATGGTCCTATATTGAAAAAGTCATTATGTTTTAATCCTATTTAGGTAAATTTCTAATCAATTTAACACTTTAGTTTCAAAAAATTTAAATGAAAGTTCGTTAAAATTTATTTGGAAAAGAGATTATGGTTGTCCTTATATATTTATGTTTAAAAATGAAAAGTGGACAGGACAAGTAAATATAGGATAGAAGGTGCAGGTTTTTGAAAGAGAAGTGAACCTTAAACATGGCTAAGGCGACAGCAAGAAAGCTGTATGAGACATGAGTAACGCCTAAAACAAATAGGAATTGATGAAGTTCCTCAAGACTCTCTTTTGACGCAAAAGATTCATGGCCCTGTATTATTAAAAAAACCAAGATAGAGGTCAAGAATTTGTTAGATATTCCCTAATTTTTTTTGTCTAGTTTTACTTTTTGACTGTATTTTAATCATCGGTTACTCTCAATTTATGTTTAATATTAATACAAAAAAATAAGAGAAAATTATTTGAAACACTCTTACATTCACATCTCATTCTAGAAATAATCTTACCTTTCAAAATTACGTGTAATAATTCAATCTTTTCGCTTGTGTGCACGTTTAAGGCCGTCGTTAGAGATGTAACAATGACCGAACAATTTTTTTAAAGAGACTTAGGGTGACCTAAAACGCGCGAAAAAGGCTTTAAAAAAAAGCGTTAGGTCACCGATAGTCCGATGCTTCCCTAAGGGTGACCTAAAACGCGCACACAAATGAAAAAGTGTGATTATTACGTATTATATTGGAAGGTTAGATTATTATATTTGAAAGAGCACGCAAAAAAGATGTGATTATTCGAGATTATTTGTCTGGAAATTTGAATAGTAGCTTACTTGTGGGCAGGAATAATGCTTTCTGGAATAATTGGCCTTCATCAGCTCATCAGGAGGAAGAGACACATTAAAATGATGGTTGAGAGGGGAAGAAATAGGGTTCCATGGAGAGCATGGATAAAAATGGGTGTTTATGGCTGATGATCTTATGCAAATCCTTGCAACAAACCCTATCCAGTGCCCCATCAACAGTGACAGAAGACCAAACACCATTAACTCTGTTTCACAACATCAAATCATCCCAATTCTTGTTAATCTAATTAATTTAATGTGTTTTTTTCGTATCATTTGGCCCTGAACTTTATAAACATTGCACATGTTCCCTCTAAGCTTTGTAAATGAATGGTCCTACTGTATCAGATTTGGGAGTGTGTTTAATCACACGCTCATTCAATGAAAGTATGGATTCATCTAAAGTCATATACCCCATGTGAGTTCTGCAATGTCATCAATTGATCGACCTCTTCACCAATCCATCGCATCTTCATCAAACTCAAACACGTATATAGATGGGTGTGTGATTAACGCACTTTCAAATATGGCGCAGAAAGACCGTGGTGCAACATTCTTAAAAGTACATGGGGCATAATTACAATTTTTAAAATTTGGGGTGAATCCGCACAATTTTTAAAAAATTCAGGAGTAAATGACGTAAAAAAATCTTAATTTAAACATCAATATTAAACATCTTTTCAATATACAAGTATAAATTTAAGTTGATTTTTCAAATGGTATCAAAATATTAATTCCTCTTAGGGTCATCCAGTTTTAAAAAATTACCCTCCCTGATTTTCACCAATGCTGCAAGAAGTGGCTTCCTTTTTGTTCTGTCCAACCACTGCAAACCAAAATTTTGAAAGCAAATTAATAATACAAATGAAATATTTAGAAATTGAAGGTGCGAATTTCAATGAGTTTTACTCCTAATAAATTTGGTTTAAAATATTTAAATTTTATCAATTTGCTAACGTAATTAAAGATAATTTAAAAATATCATGATAGACGAAAAAACTTAATCTCCGTTTCGTTCGCCTGATCTGACCTAATCTGATTTTTTGAAGATCTGATTTGATCTGATTGCAATTATAATTAAAATGGTTTCTGATCTGATAATAATAATCAAAAAAAATAAATTAAACAAAATGCTGCCTTAATCCATCTTTTACTTAATAGTTCAATCATATACTCCGTAACTGTGATTCTTTTAAATAGAAGTCACGGATTTAAATCTCTTTCCAGCGTTAATTCTATGTACGTTTGTAAGTTGAAAAAATTGTTAGGATACTAATTCAATATTTTCAAATTGTTGTAAGAGGAAAGATTATAGAGAACTCTAGATATTCGTGATGTATAGAACTCTCTGAAATGTTGTGAAATTTTCTAAAAAAAAACATGTGGAAACCTCTAACATTTAGTCCTGCACAAACTCGGACAGGCTCGTCCGGCTGGCCCATCCCGCCCTTAAAAGTAGGCGAATATAGACAATCATATGAACCTGTCTGGCCCAAAAGATAATATACACGGGCTTGGCATTAGGTTTGGCCGCATGGGCCGGCAGGCCCACCCACACTATACCCACACTATATGAATATATATAAACGTACTCCCTTCGTACGGGAATTATGTTTCCATTCTACTCTTTTTCCGTCCCGAAAAAATATTCTCATTTTACCTTTTTCACGCATCTTCCAAAATTACTCTCCTTTTCCTTATTTTCTTTTTTTCTTTTCTCTTTCCTTCTTTTTTCTCCGCCACCCATTTTCCTCATGTCCTAGTTGTTTCTTTTTCTTCCTCTCTTCAATCTTCTTCTTCTTCTTCTCTCCCATCTATGGTTTAGTTTCTTTAATCAAGGAAAAGAAGTCGATACACATGTTAATTCCCCAACAAATATACTCTCTATAAGAACATATACTCACTCCGTACTACATTATACTCTTTTTGTCTCAAACAACTTTTTCAATTAAATCTCATACTGCCTCTACTAATTATTAACTTATTTATCACATTATTATTGACTTCTCCCTCCGTTCATTAATAAAGTTGTTGTTATGTTTGATTGAAGTTATTTCTGTTGGGAAATATCCCTCCTACATGGAGGAAAAGTCCAATTTTAATTGGACAAATACTTTACATCTATCTTTTCTATTTGGGCTTATTTTTTGTGTAAAGCTTTAGCCCAAATATTTTTTTTGGTGGCCCATTCTCTTGTATTGTGTGTGGCTACTAACTAAAGAAAAAAAAAGGGAAGAGGAGAAGTAGTGAAGGCAGTAGCTAACGCAGGAAAAAGAAAGAAAAATCAGATTTCCGTCACACTGTGCAGCAGCCACTTTTCTCGTCCGGATCGAAGGCCAAACGAAGTCCGATCGTGCTCAAATTTTAGTATGTTGTTCCTCACATACTCCTCTTCATATCCAACGGTCAGTTTCTCGTTTTGATGCCCGGAAGGCTGTTTTCTGGCTGCGTTTTCAGACCTGCGTTTTTGGAAGTTTTTACTCCATTTTATGGTGAATTGTTGATTGTTGTTGTTCCAAGGTTGCTCCTTGATGATTGTGTATGCCTCTAGTGTTTACTAGAGAGGAGAACTTGTTGTACCCACTTGATTCTTGGTGATTAGTGGAAGTTTGGGAGCCGTTGTTGAGCGGCCGTGGTTTTCTCCCCGATTTAGGGTTTCCACGTAAATCGTGTGTCATCCACTTTATTATCGCTGCCATTTATTTGTGTGTGTGCTGCTGATTTTTTCAGAGTTTATTGTGCTTGTTATTCATCTCATTAATTTGGGGAAAAGATTTTATACGCTTCCGTTGTGTTTTGTTCCGTGCTTCCCCAACAAAGTGGTATCGGAGCTTGATTATTTTTTGGTTGGCTTCTTGTGTTGTTTATGATGGATGACAAAGTAATTGTTCAAGGAATGGTTAGTTTGGACTCTACGAATTATTCAATTTGGAAAATTCGTATTGAGGATTATTTATGCTCTAAAGATTTGCTTGACCCAATTTTGTATAAAGAACGTCCAACAGGTGTTGATGAGAAAGCTTGGACTACCTTGAACCGGAAAGCTATTGCATCAATCCGACAATATGT